AGCTCGAAAATCGCAACTTTGTAGTACAAGTCTAGTACGCGAAGTACACTTCCGCAGCTCCAGCTCGAAAATCGCAACTTTGTAGTACAAGTCTAGTACGCGAGTACACTTCCGCAGCTCCAGCTCGAAAATCGCAACCTTGTAGTACAAGTGTAGTACGCGAAGTACACTTCCGCATCTCCAGCTCGAAAATCGCAACTTTGTAGTGCAAGTCTAGTACGCGAAGTACACATCCGCAGCTCCAGCTCGAAAATCACAACTTTGTAGTACAAGTCTAGTACGCGAAGTACACTTGCGCAGCTCCAGCTCGAAATTCGCAACTTTGTAGTACAAGTCAAGTACGCGAAATACACTTGCGCAGCTCCAGCTCCGAAATCGAAACTTTGCAGTACGAAGTAGACTTCCGCAGCTCCAGCTCGAAAATCGCAACTTTGTAGTACAAGTCTAGTACGCCAAGTACACTTCCGCAGCTCCAGTTCGAAAATCGCAACTTTGTAGTACCAGTCTGGTAAGCGACGTACACTTCCGCATCTCCAGCTCGAAAATCGCAACTTTGTAGTACAAGTCTAGTAAGAAGTACACTTCCGCATCTCCAGCTCGAAAATCGCAACTTTGTAGTACCAGTCTAGTAAGCGAAGTACACTTCCGCAGCTCCAGCTCAAAAATCGCAACTTTGTAGTACAAGTGTAGTACGCGAAGTACACATCCGCAGCTCCAGCTCGAAAATCGCAACTTTGTACTACAAGTCTAGCGCGCGAAGTACGCTTCCGCATCTCCAGCTCGAAAATCGCAACTTTGTAGTACAAGTCCAGTACGCGAAGTGCACTTCCACATCTCCAGCTCGAAAATTGCAACTTTGTAGTACAAGTCTAGTACGCGAAGTACACTTCCGCATCTCCAGCTCGAAAATCGCAACTTTGTAGCACAAGTCTAGTACGCGAAGTACACTTCCGCAGCTCCAGCCCGAAAATCGAAACTTTGTAGTACAAGTCTAGTAAGAGAAGTACACTTCTGCATCTCCAGCTCGAAAATCGCAACTTTGTAGTCGAGAATCAAGTCTAGTACGCGAAGTACACTTCCGCATCTCCAGCTCGAAAATCGAAACTTTGTAGTTCAAGTCTAGCACGCGAAGTACACTTGCGCAGCTCCAGCTCGAAAATCGCAACTTTGTAGTACAAGTCTAGTACGCGAAGTACACTTCGCAGCTCCAGCTCGAAATCCAGCTCGTAAAGTCGCAATCTTTCGCAACTTTGTAGTACAAGTCTAGTACGCGAAGTACACTTCCGCATCTCCAGCTCGAAAATCGCAACTTTGTAGTACAAGTCTAGTACGCGAAGTACACTTCCGCATCTCCAGCTCGAAAATCGCAACTTTGTAGTGCAAGTCTAGTAAGCGAAGTACACTTCCGCATCTCCAGCTCGAAAATCGCAACTTTGTAGTACAAGTCTAGTACGCGAAGTACACTTCCGCATCTCCAGCTCGAAAATCGCAACTTTGTAGTGCAAGTCTAGTACGCGAAGTACACTTCCGCAGCTCCAGCTCGAAAATCGCAACTTCTCAGTACAAGTGTCGTATTTAGGAAGCACACCTTGGCAGCTCCAGCTCGAAAGTGGCGACTCGCCTTCTCGTTTTACGGTGGCCACGCAAGGGTCCCACCCTAGCTAAGTTGCAACTGCAGGGGTTATTATAGAGCCGTGTGTTAGCTAAGGGTTATCGTTTTTGGGGGAGACCTTATCGTTTTCCATGGTTTTGGCATGTGTTATGCAAAAACGTTCCCCGCCTTGATAAAGTGGTCTTCGTGTGTTTTGTCCGAGGCTCATATGAGAACAAACCCCGCGGAGGAGAAACAAGAGCTGCTCAAGACTTGGATCGCTTCGGGTGAAAACGCCAAAAGTGTGGAGGCAAACATCGAGGTCAGTCGCAGTCAATCTGGGGAAGTATGCAAAGGTCGTGAGCTGCTGACTATCACAGAGATGGTTGACAAAGGTTTCTCACATATTTTTGCACGCATTTAGTTTCACAGTTTCACCATTCATTTGCCGCTTGATCTTAAACTCTTCTACTGTATGTGTTGCACACTGTATGATAGAAATCAGTTCACGTCGAAATCACGAAAACATATCATCATGTTCGATGACTGCAAATCATCATTTATGAAAAACATGACATATGCAACCAGATTCTTGCACCATAAGGACCAAGATCGACAGCATCGTCCGACGCAACGAGTCAATCCCAGATCCCGATTGGACATCGGACGCTGCGTCAGTGAGATTCTGGTGTACTACGGGGGGATGGTACCAATGCATCTAGCCCTGTGTGGTCTTACCAATGCCCCTGCAACCATTGGTTCCACAGCGCCCACATCCAGTGGCGCGCCTCTTGGATCTGAACGGCCAACTTTGCCTTGGACGAAGACGGGCCTGATAGGCAGCGTGAAGTGTTCTTTTGTGGAGCCGAACCCTGATCTGGAATTCGGAAGTTGATTGAACCGAATCGCATTTTGAGCTGCAGAGGGGAGTAGTCTTCGTTTCAAAGCTTTTGAGTTGCCCGAGGGGAGCGACGACGAGTTGACGATGACTAGCACTGTGCTTCTGCCAAATGGGTTGGAGTCACATACGGGTCACTCCGCAACTTCCTCACATCGCTGCAACGTTGGGCTTTTCGAGAGAGCAGAGAGCTTACCTTGGACGCTGGTCGATGGGAATGTCTTCATCGGAAGAGTATGTGAGGACTAGCCGGCAAGTCATTTTCAATATTCAGAAGACTGTGAATGAGTCATTGGTGACTGGACATCCTATGGAGTATATGGAAGATGAAGCTGTCGATGCCTTAGTTTCTTCGACAGTGAGCTTTGGTATGAATGCAACTCGGATTCGAAAGCGACACGTCATGATGAGCAATCTGACAGGGAAGGTGTGCCTTGGGGGATTGTTCCCCACAATGCAGATTCCGATTGACGAATGGGCGGTCCTTGAAGATTTTGTGGAAGATGGACAGGAAGATTTGGAGCTCAAGGCCGTGGAACATTCCAAACAGGTTGAAAAAATGACTAAGGCGCAAATGGATTGTAGGTATTTTATCACAGTCACGAGGCGCACGGGGTTCAGGCGTCTCCACCTCAATGGATGCAGTTCAAAGTCCATACCCATCCCTGCGCTTCCTCTGAGTTTGCCGGGTACACACATGGCTTTGGGGTGCTTTGGACCCTGAAACATGCTTGCTGGCTCTTGTCTGTGGTTCGGGTGAAAACGGCTGTGCAGTTGAATGTGTTTGGGGTAAAGCGTTATCTCTGGAAAGGCAAACATCCCGAAAACCGTAAAAACTCTTGCCATCACTTTGAAGCCATGTCAGCAACTATTGAAAGTGTTGACAATCCACTTTACAATAAGTGGCTAGATACAAGAACTTTTGTGAATTTGATGTTGACTGGACGTCAAATTTGCAACGTAAGACCTCGTCCTGGTGCCAGGCACTTTGACATGCTGGATCAACTTTTCCCTGGCATATCATTGGAGCACTCTTACTATGCTCCTGAAATACTTCGTTCTGGAACATGCCAGTTGGTGAAACCACCAAATGATACTTGCGCACAACTTTCTGGGTTGCATTGCCTGAACCGTTGTCTTTTAAAGTTTTGGCAACTTCCAGAATCTTTGCAAAGGACTTGTCATGGGCACCTGACAATTTGCAGTTTGGACTTTGTCCTCGAAGTGCTTGTTGCTCACTACTTTTGGTATGAGCATTTACAATGTCCAGAACATTGGATTGGGTCATCATCGGATGGACTTAGACTTCCTGTCTTCTTTGTCAGAACTTTGGTCCAGTCAGGTGCCAACTTTTGGAACCGTTACTACATTGATCACTTTTTGAAGGTCAATGTAACTTTGGATTACTTTGAGTTTCCAAGAGAAAGTGTGATGTCTTGCGCACTCTACTCTTTCAGTATGAGCTTCAACTTTATGGCTCATCAGTTCAACTCGCTTGTGGCACGTTCCAATGGCAACTTTGTCAGAATGGGACATTTGATTGTACACAAGAACTTGAGGGATCAACTTTCTGATAATGAACATGCAATCCCTTGAGACCTTTTGGTTCCACTTTTCAGATCGATGCTGTAGATTTGAATTCAGAATTCACTTGAGTGTCACCTGAAACTTTGGGCGTCGACTTTGCTGTCGTTTTCTTTTTGCTTCAAGCTTTTGTTTCTACTTTTTGTTCAAGTGATCCTTGAACTACGTTCATGGGACAGACTCACTTTGGCACTCTCACTTTTATTTAAGGCAAACTATGCAAAGGAGTTTTGAAGTGCTTTAGGCGCCAACCACTTTGTACTAGAGACATCCCAACTTTTGGTTTCGAAGTCAACTTTGGTAGGATAATTGAAAAGATGCTGACTGAACTTTTCTGATCCTGGAATTTTGAACTAGTGGCTTGACTTTTTCAGTACTTTGCATGGTTATTCAACTTTGAAACATGCAAGGTTAATTAGTGCGACTTTAAAGTCACAGGGCTTTAAGTCAAGGGGTGCGAAATATCATGCACTTTTGTCCCCTCTTGCATGTTTACTTTTGTCATCATTAGGTTGCCAAATACTTTGGCTCAAGGCTCATGTGCCTGGAGAAAAGGAGACTTTGCTGAGCCTTACTTAGGTTGGACTTAGTAGTTGGTTGGAAGTACTTAGAGTACTTTGGGTTTTCGCAAGCTCCCAACACGCGGCAAACAACACACGTAACGCCCTGCCTTAGCCACAACTCTCACCGGGCACTTGCACTCAGAGGTCTGCACTTTGAACAGGAACCTGAGATCTGCACTGCCGCCGCCTGCGCAGAGTAAGTCAACATCGACTGGCAGCTTGCCCCTCTTTCCACTCAAACTCTGATGCTTGTTGGGCAACCTAGGCTGTCTCAACCTAGGCTGTCTCAACCTAAACAGTAGGGGGCCCTGCGCAGTTGGCTGGCCGGAATTCTGTGGAAGCCCTTCCATGCAACCTTTTTTCATCAAAACATTCCTCGGCGTTTGGGCTTCGTGTTGGCTTCAAGCGCATCGGTCTTCTGCTTGAGCAGAGCGTGCACGGATGGCGACGCTGCACAAAACCGCTCAGCCGCCTTAGTGGTGGCCTTGACATAGATGCAGTGGGCACCTTGAGCCTTCACCGCCTGTGCCAGATGCTTGCTGGTGAAACGGTCAGCGAAGTCCACGGACCTTACGCACTGCTCAAAGGGGGCGTCCGCCACGCGGCGGGCCACCTCCTTGGCAGCCAGGACCTTTTCTGGGCCGAAGCCGCCCTGCGCATCGATGCCGAAGAAGCGCAGGATCTCCTCCTCCTGACTGCGCAAAACAAAAAGGCGCAAAACAAAAAGGCTCAAGTCAACCCCGTCCTGCGCGCTGATGGTTTCGAGCCGGACCTCCTCGAAGGTCTTGGTCCGCAAGGCCTGCGCCAGGTCCTGCGGGGCTGGAAAGGCTTCACAACACACCGAGCCTTTGCAAAGACAAGGCTGGAAAGACAAGACAATGCACCGGCCTCCAACTTGCCCACGTTGCCGCCGGAGAGGTGGAGGAGTTCCGACTTGTGCTCGACGGCGACGGCTCCACCGTGGTGCTTGAGGAACGTCTGGACCTGGTCAGGGAGAGCCAAACAAAAACTCAAAGGAACGCTCTCAGCAAACCCGCCTCCTCCTGCTGGCACTCTTCCTCGCTCAGCGGTTGGATCTGGAACCGAACTTCCTGGGCGTCCGCATCAAAGCTCAGGGCCATGGAGGCGCTGCTCGCCAACACGATGACTTTCGCCAATTCGGCGTCGTAGCCCCATGTCTTGGCGAAGCCAGAACAACTGTGTACAACTGCCATGTCGCTGACCTCCCGGGGGATCTCCAGGACATGGGCCGTCGGCTCAGCGTCTTTGTGGCCTGCTTCAAGGCCTCCTTTGCCTCAACGTCGCCGAGGGCACCCAGCTCCTGGCAAAGCTTTTCTCCTGCCATGTGCTTGTCGCTGTGGAGCTGCACGTGGACGATGCCCTCGCGAAAGCCTGCCTGTTCGAAAGCCTTGAAGAGGGCAAAGCTCTTACCGGCCAGGTGGTTGCCCCAGATCAGCACGGGGGAGCGGTCATCCAGATCCAGCAGGCGCTTCATGGTGACCTAGCACAACAGGGTGAAAGACAAAGCGACACGGATGCTGACGACTTGTGCATGACACCGGGCCTGGACCTGCTCGCGCGGGATTTCCACTTTGGGCTGGAAAGCGTGGAAGGAACTGTGGATCACGCGATTAACCATACGAGCGCGATCTTGTTCTTCTTGCCGGCGCTTCCAAGCGTCTAGCACAAAGCCACCGATAGCAGCACCTGCGCCTAGAGCTGGTACGCTACCGGGCACCCGGCTGAACATGGCTCCGATACGCTGTTTCATCGCTGCTACAAGCCCAACATGACTTGGACACTCAGATTTCTGCGAAAAGAAAACATGCAAAGAGCTGAGCTTGTTATTACTGCTTGCGAAGCACTCTCTGCCGGTGCCTCCAGGAACTGCCAGAGCTCCGCAAGGCCTCGAAAAGTACACGAAGTGACTACACCGCCTTTTCGAAGTCAAGCCTACCCCAAGGTCAACACGAAGCGGTCCCCACAGTCCCCACAGGCCTGCCGAAGGGGCGTTCGCAGAGCTCCACATGCTGCGGAAGAAGCAAAGGCAAACAACCATCACATGCAAAAATCCAGATGCCCATGGTAAATCTTAGCCTTACCTGTTATCATAGTTTTTATCATAGTTCAATAGTTCTTTTTGTTAAAATTTGTTGCATCATATATGGTTTTAAGTTGCAGGCCACGTACAGCTTTTGACATGTATGTGCCATCAGGAGAAACTGTGTACACTACGCATTATAAATTGTGTTGCATTCCATGTGCAGCATGCGATGTGCGAGACATGTTTGCTGGTACCTGGTTGACTCCAGAGATCCGCTTGAGCAAAGGTGTCTTGAATGCAGGGCATGAGAAGGCCTACAAAAGAAATAAGTTTGACTCAATCAACTGTAAAACTGATACAAATGTAGTCAAAAACATGGCTTGACGAATTAAGCGCCCCACTATCTCAGCCTGCGCGTTATTGCCTTTGGCCGTTGAAAGGACACACCCGCACGACAGAACCCTTTCAGGTCTGTAATGCCGCTGCAAGAGTACATAGGCTTCGCTCAGCCAAGCATGCCCTTTGGGCACATTGCAGGTTGACTTCTACAACCGCCTTCAGAGTCCACTAGCTCGCCTTCAGTTTGGGTAAGTTGCCAACACCCTTTCCTGCGCCAAAATGTCGTCTGCTATGGCGATGAACTTGCCACATTCGCTACGCGCGTGCCCAGCAAAACGTAGGATGCAAACTGCAACTGAATGCGGCAAGGCTGGCAGAAGGGCCAACCCTTGCGGGCGAAGCGCAGTGAAGTGTGACTTGGTGTACTTCGGTCTGGCTATACCAGCGTTTCTTTTCTCTCTCCATGGTCCCCGGTAAACATGCCGGAAACTGCCTTGTAACCAAGGCAACAACCACGACTGTACCATTGTCTCTCTCTCAGCCTGTGGAACATACCACGTCCTGAAAGTGGCAACATCATCCAACACCGCAATGCGGCGTTGTGACTTCAGTTTGCGCCACCCATTCTGTGCTCGAGTCAACTGCAAAGCTTCCCAAGCTTTCCATGCTTCTGTAAACTTACTCTCTCCTTGTTTGGGAACGGCCCGCTTTGTTGGCTCAGTAAAGCCAAATAATCCCTTCCAAGGCCTTGGCCGTGTACGGGAAACGACATGCCCAGATAACCAAGCCACATCATTGCAGCAGCCTCGACAAGATTGGCTGGGCTTCAACAAAGACAGGTGATACAAGGCATTTGTAGCTACGTCTCCAGCCCGCGAAGGCATCGTGAACCCAACCATGTGTGGGACCCGCGGAGACACTTCCAGAACTTGAACAAAAGCGGAATTTTTTTTGTAGTGCTGCTCAAAGGAAAAAATCGATCGCAAGTTTCCCCTTCTGTGCGCGGCACAACTTTCACATACATTGCGTATATGTAGTGGCACATCCACCCCAGTTGCGGCCCACGGTGGTACCAATCATCTAAAAAGGCATCGTTACTAACCTGCAGACTGTATTCGTCATTTTTTTGTCACTTGGACCAAGGTCAAGGCCACATCCTCTGCATGATCACCTTCTTCCGCTATGTGCAATTCTTGCCTCCGCAAAGCTTCATAGCCTGCCACGCAAAACAGCAACCCATCTAGAAAAGTTGTTGCAAAAAGGCATGGGTTTGGAGTATCCCGCATTATTATGCGGTTGCATTGTCAGCTGCCCAAAATTCGGCCCCCTGAAAAAAGTACAAATTTGAGGGGGCTCAAAACATCCGCGCTTGATTCAAAACTATAAGTGCGCATGGAGTATGTCCCATTGATCATCGAAGCCCTTTTATATAGTCATAACTGACCAAAGCTTCGGCCCCTCCAAAAACTTACAAATTTCAAGGGGCCCAAAATTGAGACGGCTGCGTGCACGATGCTTTCAAAACATGCTACAAACGTGCTTGAGTAGCCGGACAAACGCCAAGTTTGGACACCATGGCCTGCCCAGACTAACCTCTTCGTCAGGACCTGCCAATACCGATGCGTCCGCACAGCCTCTCTACGGGTCAACAAATGCACTAGCTGCAATGAGCTTCCTTTCAGCAAGGAATAATTGGCAGCCGACCAAAGCCGTATGAGTATACGTCTAACTTTGTCCTGGCGCGCTTCCACTTCGGATAACGTCGCCGTCTTTACTTCTATTTCTTGTCCGGCGACCAATCTTCCAGGATCATGCAATACCCCCGCGGCCTCCATTTCCAAAACCTTTCTCACGTGCTCTTTTTCCTGTAGTTCCGACTCCAACCGTTTCATGCCCCGATGCATGTGCTGAAGCACACGGCCAGTTGTGACATTGGGTTTAGTGGAATAATCGCATATGTAAAACCCAATCTGGGTCGCACTCCTCATAGCTTCCACAATCCCATCTACCACCGACCGAGTAAAACGTTTTGAGGCAACATCTCGCTGTCGATCTCCAACCCGTGGAAGCTCCGCCTTCCCAGCCCGGGGTTCACACTGCCAGAAAAAAGCTCGGCGACAACGCGCCAATGCTGCGAGGTCCACCGTCATCATGCAGGATCGAAGACTTCTCAACAAAGCAGATCTGGGCAGCGCTACGCCAATATGTCGGCAAAATGCACGACATTCCTGCATGGCATCGCGGCGATGGACTTTGATTTCAAGCGGGAGCTGCACATCGTCGCAATTTGGGTCGTCCAAAACTGTTCGAAGGTCTTGATAGTCTAAATTGCCTCGATGCACGACAATGCCACCAACCAGCGTTGAAGTTTCCCTTGGGTGCAATCGAACCGTGTTGATACGGCCTGGTCGGTCCGAACTGTCCCTCGCATTGATCTGGCTTCCCAACGCCGGGTGCTGATGCGCAAACATGTCCGCTGTAGGCTTCAGGCCTTCCACAGCTTCAGTAGCAGACACTTCATATCCGTGTGGAAGCACCGGATCCTTCCCAAACCTGGCAAAGACACGCTGGACAGCGACTTTCACTTCCTTGCCACGCCGAAGCATGACCTTCCAACACCAGTTGGTCACAAAATGGGTAAACCCAAAGCGGCAATGTTCTGGCTTACCATCCTTTTCTCGGCCGCTTTCATATTTGTAGCAAGACGCCGTGTGGCAATGAATCCCAGCAGCCTCGACAACACGAGCAGCATCTTTTGAGAAGGCAGCAACATAAAGTTTTCTATCTTGCTTGGCTGATTCCTTATCCAATCTTAATAATTCCCACTGCGACTGCTTGCGCAAACATCCTCCATGCAAACAGCCAACGCTTGCTTGCGGCGATCGGATATACTCCGGCAAAGTTGACAACACTCCACCAGTCTGGGGGCAATCCCGTTTCAACTTGCCAATGCTGCCGGCCTCGTTTGCTGCCATTGCTTGCGCAGCTGTGTTTTCTGCAAGTTTTGGAGCTACAGCCACACAGGTCCTGAACGCAATCCGAGTTACATGTGAACTCACCCGCACATCGATGCAAGTACGAGAAATACCTTTTTAGGCAAACACACAAGTCAATGATATGAATGCTTTACAAGAAACATCTTGCTCGAAAATATGGTCCTGCGTTTCTCCGGGCTGCAATGGAAAGTCGACACCTTCTGGGCAGTTGGTCAGGAGAAACGGCACTGCTGCCACACACGTGCTCTGCATGCTTTCCACGGCAAGCAAAACTTGGTCTCGCCATGTCCGCAAGCGCTCCCGTCCCTCTTGCGTTGATCCAGCTAGAATGTCGCCCAACCAGGACATTGTCTGACGGCTGTTAAAAATGACAAGCCCGTGACCATGGTTGGACCTTCGCCCCTGTTCTTCGATTGGAAAATGCGCACAAGCGACGCTGCAACTTGCACCTGCCCAAAGGTTCCCTGCACGGCCATCCGGGTAAACAGTTCCATCCTTATATCCATGATGCCGCAGCATGCCATCCACTGGACCAGTTCCAAGCACATGAACATCTGATAGCAGAAAATGAAGAAACGTGTTTGGCTCAACGGGTCTTTGGCAATCAATTGCAACATGTGCCGTTTGGATGGTATATCGGGCACTTCTTGCAGCAAGTCCACGTAGTGTTCTTCTTCTTCCAGACCATTACACTGTCGATGAATTTTGACAACCAGCGGGTGCCCCAGATCGTTCACATTCGGTGTCACAAAAGCCCCCACCGGCCCGAAGCGAATCATGCTACCCATGATTTGGTAACGCAGTGTCACCCGTGAACCTTCCGACCCAACCACAT